GGGTGTTGTAAACACGAAATCATGCCAATCTCGTTCAGAAATTCACGGTTTCCTTGCCTTGATCTAGATGAGAGCTGCTTCACAGCAATTACGGTACCATCATATAGTTGACCCTACACCAGTTAGCCAATCAGAAATATGAATGATGAAAATGAAGACGGAATTAATTATCTTTCACCAAAAACAATACCTTGTACACGGAACCAAAACCACCTTCTCCGATCTTGTTTCCAGCATCAAAGTTGTTAGTGGCAGCTTTAATTTGTTTCAAACTAAAAGCAACTGTTTGCAATTCTAGATCTTCAAAACCTGTCCCCGTAAAATAAAATAAAAAAAGGAAAATCATTAAGGTGGATGTCCCATGGTGTCAGCATAAGCCTTTGTTTTTTCATTTTTGCATTTTCGGATCAAACAAATATTCTAGAGGCACGGAAAATTTGAACCAAAAAAAACAAAGAATTTGCACTATAGCAGCTATAAAATATGGAAAAAATTCGTAGGAAAGGCCTAATGTACAAGAACTGAAATTGTTTATGACTCAACCGATCTTTTAAACTAAAACATTCAACTTGACCGATATGCACAAACTGAAATAACCATCTACAAATCTGCTTATGTTTACACAATCATAGACATCACCTGTTCTTGCTCGTTTTCTTCCTCCCAAATAGCCTTTCCACCAAAGGATGCCAAGTATCATGAAAATAGCAAATGCTGACAGAACTCCAACTATGATATAAGCAGTCACATTCTTTTTGCTTCCATTTGAACATATTTTGAAATCTGCATAGGAGAAAAATAGAAATTTGTGGAACAAAAATCATTTAAGTGAAAGGTATATCTAATTTTCTTTAAATTCATCTGATACTAGTAGGTGTTGCATTTTCCAACATTCATGCATCAAATAAGATATAGGCACCATGGCTACTATAAATAAACACAAACAGATAATTATAAAAAAAAAAAAAAAAAAATTAACTAAATATTTCACTAGACAATAATTTTTCTATCATATGTTTCATTAATTTTTATTAAAATTTACTAAAAATTTGATTTTAATTTACAAAGCTTTAATTTATTTCCTCCGGAAAAATGATTACGGACAAGGTTTTGCAAGATGTGAAGAGAACTTCTTTGGAACAAATTATGGGTTTCTCCTTCACCGCACATTTTGAAAGAATAAAGTGTTGTTTTGGGGTGGGTCAAATGCTTATCAATCAAATTCACGATACCTAAGTTTTAAAGGGATAACTTTAAGGACAAGTCTTTTTTTTTTTTTTTTTTTTACAAGGTGTCCTATTCTAGACTAATCCTTGGGTCTGTGATCCGGCCCCTCTTCACACAGTCCGGTTAATCGCAGGATGTGCCTCCAACTGGCCAGGGTCCGAGCGCTCCCCACCTGGTCTGACAAAGTGCCAAGCAAGCCAATCCAAGTTGCACCTTGCCTTCCAAGAATAAATCCTTGCCTTCCAAATGTTCCCTTGCCTTCCAAGAATAAATTCTTGCCTTCCAAGAGCCCCATGTTTCGAACTCACGACCTCTGCTCTGCCAGGTTTGACAGCGTCCGTCCTTTGCCAATGGAGAAGTGCCATGGGGGGCACGTCTTGATGTATATAGAATATGTACATAGGAGTGTCACCACTCCTCACATGGGAGTGGACCCACCTCGTCCGGGTCCCACTACTTGTGAAGGGTGTGAACACTTATATATACTCAAATTATGTACACCGAACACAACCCCAACTATAAATCCATATATTCTATTCAATACTTAGAGCCTATTGGGGAGTTTTTTTTCCCGTAAAAAAAGTTGATTTTTTGACCGTTATTTCATCGTTCCAGCCATCATATTTGACTTTTTCTATCATAAGTGGAATCCATTTTTTTTTCTAACGGTCAAAAAATTAATTCTGGAAATCACTTCAAAACAGGCTCTTAATGGTTTATTATAAACAAATACATAATATTATTTATCTCAAGTAGTAGAAAATAAGCATACCTGGCTTCGTCGATCCTACTTAATTTTGAACTCAAAAGTCTGCTCAAAATATAACCATTTCCAATATAAAGTTGATGGGAATGTTAGATATAGATGGCACATCTTAAGTTTTTCAAATAAGATTTTTATTGACTTACTCCCTATTTGAGCACCTCATTTTTTTTTTTTTTGGGAAAATATGTTTTCTGAAGGTGATTTTTTGATAAATGTGTGGTTAAAATTTATGGAAAAAAATTGGATTTACATGTAAAATTATTTTATAAGAGAATGTGGTTGAAAATGAATTTTAAAAAGAAAAAAAAGGCTCGAGGCTTAATAGGCTATAAGATAATGATTATTTCCAAAATTCACGCTACAAAGTTGCTATTTTTTTAGTACCAAATATTAGAGTAAGTTGGTACTAACTTCGGCAAACAAATATAACGAATTTTATGTTTATGTAATGGGATACAAATTTTAATAATTAGCAAAGGTAGGCATAGTCGTATCCATTAAGTCATGCTAGCAATTCGAATTATACCTTTTAAAATTTAAGATACTACTCAACACGTGACATGTTGTCAACAACATCATAAAAAAAAATTGTACACCAAACATAATTATTCACTACGTAACTCGACTCGACAACATGGATATACACGTAGCTATTGTTAGAATGGATGCTAAAAATAGGATATAATGAATCGAGATCTAGAAGAGGGAAAGTTCATTCTGAACAGCACAATACAGACAAATGAGAGGTAGACTATATTGAACCGATGACGACATATAATTATTAAAGGAAGCAGAGTCGATAAGCTAAGCTATATGCACCTGACTTGACTGCCTTTGTCTACTTGCATTGTATTTGTATCAATCGCCCACACCTTCCAATATTTTAATGCAAAATTGCATTACTGGTAACCATCATTTTTCTATTTTTTCATTCACCACAAATATATTTCATTTTTCCTTTTCCAATATGAATCTTGAAACCCCTTTCTTAACCCCCAGATTTTGCAGATTCTGATACTGTAACTTTTTTATTTTTATGGCAAAAAGTAAATTCTAAATAAGTTAGAAATTCTAAATAAGTTAGTATTTCTCGCATGTTTATTCAGGTAATTTTTTTGTTTTGTTTTGTTTGACCTATTTGTGGATTTGCTCCTTCCTTGCATTTATATGCGAATCCTAAAATCCTTTTTTTTTTTACCCTTGTTAATGCAGGTGGGTCTTTTTGCTATGATTTCTGGGCTGATACTTAAAGTACTGAATTTGAGTTGAGGTTAGAATTTGGGGCTGATTCAAGATTTTTCCGATCTAGCCCAGTTCGTGCTTGTTTATTTTGAAGTCAAATTGTATGTTTTCTTTTGGGTTTCTAAACAAAGATTGGTAATATGTGGCCCTTGAAGAATCTATTCTAAGTGGAAATTTCTGCTTCTCCTGTGTAATTATGAGTAAATTGAAGTGAGTTTTGGTTCTAAATATTATATGGATTCGGGTTTAATGAAGTTCTTTTATCATGAATGCAGGTTCACATGACTATTCTTTTTGTTACTTTAATTGGATTTGATGACTCGTGGCTTTAAATTTTTGGTACTTGCTCTCATTTGTACCAGATGCTTTATGGATATATGACCTCCTTTTCTTTTTCATTTTTACCTTTATTCTTCTTCTTTTTATCATTTTATTGTTTGTGAATTATGTAGTATGATATGGTGTTGGAAGTGGATTGATAATCTGAGATTCTAATGCTGTCATGTTGCAGTATGTATGATTTGTTTATTATTTATGAAATTTAAACTTTATAGACCTTACATAATTGACAAGATCTCCATGTCAAATTACCAAAAAAAATAATTAATGCGGAACATACCTTGATTCATTGATTTGTATCTTGAATGATGAATCCTGAATAATAACTTTTGAATCGTGTTCCTGATCTTTAATCTTGATTATTGATTATGAATTCTTCTTCTAGATTTTTGAATTACTATTGTGAGTATTTGATCTTTCTCTTCAATATTCTTGAATTAATGGGATGACACAAAAAATGAGAAGTGCCCATCATGAAACCCGTCTACCACGTATATAATAGGCAACTAGAGGAAAGAAACATTACTCCTAGAAGTTATAAAATGAAAATTTGTTAATAATAAAATTATCATTTCCTTCTTCAAACAAGATTCAATCCTACAACCAACTATAGCTGACTGCTCCACTTCCAAGCTATTAAAGAACAATTGAAGATTGCCCTTGTTTGAGCCCCATTTTGATGGGGAAAATGAATTTTTGAATAGTGTATTGATGTGAAATGTGTGGTTAAAAAATAAGGAAAAGTTTTGGATTTGCGTGTAATATTATTTTATTGAAGAATGTATGGTTGAAATTATATCAAAACATTGTTGAAGAATTCATTTTCTCCAAAAAATGGGAATCAAACAAGGGCTAGATCTCATCTCAGTTTTGCATTCTAGCTTCCTCTTCAACGTGGCACTTCATTTTTCCCTAAGATGATCCACTGATACAAGAACTCAAGCCACTTTTATTTTTTTATGTTCATTCAATTCAAATATCAGATTATTGATTGCACCAATTCATCCATTATCTGCTGGGTGAGCAGCAATGAAGTTGATAGTAAATACAGAACTCTGGTTAATCAGTTTGGAAACATTGACACATCAAACCACCTCCATGAAAATGAGTGTGCTTGTTTACCTAACTCTGGTGTTGAAGCTCTATTCTACAATACAATATATTGTTGCATGACTTTCTTATGTCCTGTCGACGTAGAATACAAAGGAACCAAAAACGAGATTGAGGAAGAAAGAGGACCAAAGCAAGGGGAGAGGATACAGAAGAAATTGGGGGCGAAAGTATTAATTTATTTCATAATCAAAGTCTAACTATTACGATGCAATAGGCCCCTTTATATAGGGCAATGAAGCTAAAATTAAAAATTAAAAATTGAAAATACAAGAACCTTATCAAAATATTAAAACTAATCTAAGATCTAACTTAATTTAAATCAAACTACTTTAAATTTTAAAATCCTATCTAAATGCATCGTTGTACTTATCTTCATTTCCCATCACCTATACAATCAGTTGTTTCCCTAAATTTTACTAAATGTTGGTGTCAATCTAGTGCTAGCTGATGAGAGACCAATTCATATGATGTGTTCTCTCAGTTCCAATAAAATGCATCCCGATCAAGTTTGAGCTGGAGATCAGATAATTTTGCTGGTAAAACTTATAAGTTCTCAAACAACATTCGGGCTTTAGATACAGATACTACAAGCTGATAAGGTGGTTATTAGTTCTCACAAGGGACTCTTTATTTCTAATTAAAAATCCGAACCTCAAAAAATCCAACAAATCACAAACTAATCATAGCAATTACAATGTGTAATGCGACGAGCAATTTTAATTCCTAATTCTTTTGGGTTTGGGCCATGATAAACTGAGACAAAAAATTGTCAATGGTGTATTCCTTGCATGGAAGGACGCTGTGATAGTTGAAAAACATATGCATTTTAAGATTTTAGCCTAGAGATTAGGCAACCTGTCATTTTCTTGTTGGTTTGTTTCTGACCAGCTTATTATTTAGTCCTTCAGTTAGATTTGTAATGTACCATTTATGATGATAACACTTGTTTGATCGATAAATTTGGCTGATATTGAGTTTCAAAATTAAAGATGCTTATTTATTCATGTTGCTTTTAGCAGGTGAAGGCTATGATTCTCACGAAGCAATACCGCTGCATCCACTCGGCCAGTTGTCTCTGCACAAAAGGGCATCTTAATGAAGAAGTCATTTTCCTAGTTTTTCATCACCTAAATTGGAACCCAATGTTGATTGCGACACTTTCTTGCGCATGCAAATGGTTCGATGATCTTGCTAAGCGAGTCCTGTGGAAGGAGTTCTGTAGGACACGAGCTCCAAAGATGATGCTGGATTTGCAATCTAGTGGCAGTCACAGTATTGATGGGAACTGGAGGGCACTCGGGAAACTGCTAATATACTGTTCTGGATGTAAGAAGGGTGGCTTGTTCAATAACGTTGACATTCCTGCCCACTTTGTCCATAGGACACGATTCTCAAGGACATCTGGGAAAAGCTTTCTATTACCACAATGCAGAACAGATGTTTTGTATGTGTCTGATCCTTGTGAACATCTTGATCAAGGGGATGAAGGGGATGTTGGATTCTTTCGGGGAATATTTAAATGCTTTGCAATGTCGAAGGTAAGGAAAGTACTGATTAACAGAGGCGCTCTACTTCATCCTACAGAGGTGTGTCCCTATTGTAAAGCAAAGTTGTGGAACATGCTACAAGCAAAGATGATACCATCCAGTGCCAGCTGTCGGTTAGGTGCTTATGAAGACTGCATTGAGTATTATGTCTGCCTTAATGGACACGTGCTTGGTACTTGCACCCTCTTACCCTTGTCTGATACAGAAGAAGCATCTGAGGAGTGACATTTTGGTGGAATTCAGGTACGTTCTTTTTTAATTTAGGTACAATTTTTAAATTCCTGGCAAAGTTTGGTAAGCAATATTGAACAGAATTGGACCTGACTGCGATGTCTCCTTTTTATTAGTTAATATAGTGTAGTCTTATCCAACAGTGTACTAAACATGTATTTATGTTCTCATTTGACTGACCTTCGAGCTGACACTCTCTTTCTTGTTTTTCTCTAGGAATTTTGCTCACTGTACAATACTTTTGTACACTATTGTTGAAAGTCCTCTCACATGAGGTGGTGGGGCTCATGATTAAAATAATCGTGGGTCCCACCCCATGTGAGAGGGTTGTCAAAATTAGTGTACAAAGTTGTGTACAGCATTTTTGTATACCATTGTTGATAGCCCTCTCACATGGGGTGGTGGGACTATATGTGTACAGTAATTTTGTACACCATTGTTGACATCCCTCTCACATGGGGTGGTGGGGCTCACGATTAAAATAATTGTGGATCCCACCCCATGTGAGAGGGTTGTACAAAATTGCCGACAACCCTTTAGGAATTTTGCTATGTGTATAGCACTTTTGTACACCACTATCGACAGCCCTATTAAAATAATCATGGGTCCTACCTTATGTGAGAGGGCCATCAAAATTAGCGTACAAAATTATTGTACACATAGTAAAACTCTTCTGTCGGAATTTTGCTATGTGTACAACATTTTTGTACACCATTGTCGACAGTCCTTTCACATGGGGTGGTAGGGCTCATGATTAAAATAATTAAGGGTCCCATTCTATGTAAGAGGCCTGTCAAAGTTAGTGTACAAAATTGCTGTACACATTGTAAAACTCTTCTCTAGCAATTTTGTTATGTGTACAACACTTTTGTACACCATTGTTGACAGTCCTCTCACATGGGACGGTGGGGTTCACGATTAAAATAATTGCGGATCTCACCTCATGTGAGAGAGTTGTCAAAATTAGCTTAGAAAATTGCTGTACACATAGCAAAACTCTTCTCTAATAATTTTGCTATGTGTGCAGCACTTTTGTACACCATTGTTGACAACCCTCTTACATGGGTTTGTGGGGCTCACGATTAAAATAATTGCAGGTCCCACCCCATACGAGAGGCCTGAAAATTAGCGTACAAAATTGTTGAACATATAGCAGAACTCCTCTATAGGAATTTTGCTATGTGTAAGCACTCTTGTACACCATTGTCAACGGCCCTCTATGTACAAAGTTGTACATAGCAAAATTATTCTCTAGAAATTTTGTTATATGTACAGTACTTTTATACACCAATGTTGACAGCCCTCTCACATGAGATGGTGTGGTTCACGATTAAAATAATCGTGAGTCCCACCCCATGTGAGAGGGCTGTCAAAATTAGTGTACAAAATTGCTATACATATAGCAGAACTCCTTCTCTAGAGGGGGTTGGTTTAATGCTATTTCATTGAAAAAACAGCACTTATCCTAGGACAACGAATTTGATGTCCTTTGGAGCATCTCCAAGAGACTTCATAAGATACTTTTTGTTTTGGAAAGTTAATATTTAAAAATAAACTCCAAGAGACTATTATAGACCCTGTTTAGCCCCCTTTAAAACTCTTCAGTTTAATTTAATTTTTTCTCTCTCTTACTTTCAAATACACAATCTTCAATAAAATAATATTACACTTAAATCGAAAACTTTTCAACCACACAATTTTCAAAAAAATACTATTCCCCCATTATAAATTCAAATAATGGGGGCCACAACGGGGGCTATATTATACTAAGGGAAAATTGCAGCAGCGGTACCAAACTTTTCGTTTATTAGCAGATTTAGCCCAAATTTTTAGTTTGTGCCACCGTGAGTATCAAACCTTTGAAAAACTCATACCTGGAGTCCAAATTGATGATTTCTGTTAGTTTGACCATTAGTTGACTCAATAAATTGACTTTGACCAATTTTAAAAGGGGTAAAATTGTAATTTTGAATTAAACTTAAAAACAAAAAAACAAGAAAAACAAAAAAATAAATAAATTAAAAGCATATAACTGCTCTTCTTCTCTTTCCCACCCCCACTGTTCACCACCTCCTTGATACCCGATCCCAAATTAATCCAACACCACAGTCATTGTCGCGTCCCGCCGCCTGTCGCTTGCACTACAAAACTCATCTTATCATCATCCCAAATCACAAACCATTATCAAACCAATCAAGAAACAATTTCATTTCCATCAAGAATTTCCAAGTCAATGTAATCTATGGTGGCAGAAACACACCTTACGGCCACACCCACCATTTCAGACCACCACCAGTAGACATGTACACCACAAACGCTCAATATGATGGTGATGATTCAACAAAATAGGACCAAAACATCAATGTATTTTCTGGGATTTTACATCCAATGTGTGCGAATAAAGGCTCTCATATCCAATCCAACTGATGGTTTTCCCATTGTTCAATCCACAAATTCACCTACGAGAACTCATATTCATACTCAAATGATTGTGGGTACACAATTAATTGATCCAGTTGCTGCTCAGTTGCCTCGTAATTCGATCTCTGAAGTAGCGACTTGACTGTTCCATCAATTGCAATTGACAGCCAAAATATTGTTCTTCCATCCATTGTGATTCACCGGTGGTTGAAGTGGGTCTTTCCTTACTTGCTTTGTGAGAGCTAAAATACTGCTTAGTAGATCTCTTTGATTTGAAAGGGATGATGAATATGGGGTGCGTTAGTTTAAGGTGGAGGGGTGGGGGCGATGAACAGTACTTTTTATTTTTTGGGGTAGGGGTGGACTGACTTTTCTCTTTTTATTAATCTATGTTTTGTTTTATTTTTATTTCAAAATTACCATTCTACCTCCTTTAAAATTGGTTAAAATCAATTTCTTGGATCAACTAACAGTTAAATTAACAGAAATCATCCATTTGGACTCCAGGTGCGAGTTTTTCAAAGGTTTGGTACTCACGGTAACACAAACTAAAGGTTTGGGCAAAGTCTGTTAATAAACGAAAGTTTTGGTACCGCTGCTGTAATTTTCCCTTATATTAATGCACTTAATAAGTTACAGAATTTAATACTCCGCTCCTTAAATTATTCAAATCATATTTGTAGTGATTGGTCGTTAACATATAAAAAGAATATATTAATTAAAAGATGAGGAGAAATTATTGTTTGAAAAAGGCAAAATGAAGAGCCAGAATACATAGCATTGTTGGAATATATAAAAAAAATTACTATCTAAATTTAAAGATGTTCTCAATTTTATGTAAGATGCTCTTTATAAATGGTCTCTTGAAGATGTTCTTAAGACATTCTTAATACTCATACTGATTGAGTTGCCATGATTGAGCTCTTCAATTATCGACTAATTCTTCTGCAACGTATCTGATAAATGACAACTTTATTACCAGTTGTGCAGTATCAAATATATCGATGCGCCTGTCCCGTAGAAATTTGGTGGATGAGAAGTCGGTAAGCCTCACATGGTCTCCTGCAGAACTCGTCTTTGAAAGTTGAGTTCACAAATCTGCTGCTCTGTAATCTATTACTCAACTGACAGGTTGCCAGAATGCTATTAATAACCAGTTTATTTCTTTCATGGTAAATTACAAGGTGGTTCTATATACTATGTTGTCCATGTCTTCATGTAGGACCGACAAAATGTATCAGAAATTTGAACAATGATCTGTAACATTCAACACACTTGGCAGCTCGGTTACCTATCAGTTTCAACTTCTAGGAATTAATATTTGCCCACCATCGCTTGAGTTTCAGTCATCCTCTTGTATTTCCTCTCTTCTTGTTTGCTTCATGATAAGCATGTATGGCTGGTTTTGCATTGTGTCTGGTCTATATACGGGGGCATGAATTCTTGTAGCATGGTGCAACTCTTTCACCAAGTTGAATTTTAATGTTTTTAGCCATTTGGATGGAAAATCCAAGCGTTTATTGGCTGTTGAAAAATAAATCCTACACTATTGGACAACAAATCTCAACTTCTATTATTATTGGCTGCAGAAATGGTTCTTCTACCTTTTTGTCTTATCCTTATTAGTTTCCTATTTGTTGAGTTTATGTCCAAGAACGTTGCCTGTATTGTTCTTCTGATCAATTTGCACGAGCAACAGCAATTGAAAAGTTTTTCTGCCAAGCCTGTAAATGCAATCAAAGCAGGAGGTAAAGAGCCAAGCTTCCAATGTTAAATTCGAATTCAGATTCTGCAAGAACTCACGTCGAGTAAGAAAAAAGACATGTTGAAAACTGGATCACTAAACCGACGATCTAAGCATCTGTTTGATGTTTTTGAATAATTTTTTTGGAGAACGTGTAATTAAAAAGTAGAGAATTTTAAGTTTTCGTGCAAAATATTTTATTATATATGAATGTCATTGAAAATGAATATGAGAATTAAAGACAAACAAGGGCTTAAAATGTATACAACTTTTTGTCAGGTTTCCCTGTTATTTACCTTAAGCAAGAAGCATAGAGCATTTCAACTTCAGTATCATTTTTCTCAGGTAGTTAAAGCTGAGGTATTTGGTTTACATCAGAATCAAGCTGATTGACAACATCATCTGAGAATACCACCTTGTCAAGGTTGGGAAGGAGCTGCACAGTGCACTCATATAATCTTCTTAGCATAGGAAAAGATAAATGAAAAGGAGAGAAGAAAATTTCTGATGAAATAAATGACTTTCAATCTCAGGTGTATCATTAAGAATAAACCAGTAAATGAGGACTGAACCTCAAATTATAACCGCCACATGCTAGAGGAAACCCCATTATAATTCACATAATAATTGTTTGACAAGGTTTATTTAGGGTCATCAAAATCTCCATCCAGTTTTAAAAGAGAAGCTCACCCAAAAATTCAGTAGTTAAAGATAAACCAGGCATGATCACTGTAAACTAAAATAAATTCTAATTGATCACTTAGTATATCGAATGTATAATGTGTAGAAACGTATCCTCTCCTCTCAGAATTATCGCATGCCGTATATGTAGTTTAGATACCGATTTTAAATATACCGTATATGCAGCTTACCGCATTTACCTTATTTGACAGTGCATCTCACCGTATATGGCAGTCTATTGTATTTGACAATGAAGCTCACCATATATGCGTAAAATTAACACAAACTGTTTTTATTAAAATAACAAAGATTTTTTTTCCAATAAAAATACCATATATGTAACATGCATATACCGAATTGCATTTACCAACTGTTAGCAATATATATATTTTATTTTTATTTTTATTTCTAACATAAATATAAAAACAAGTAAACTGCAAAATATATGAATCTAGTAAATTGCAAACGTGTAAATTTCTAAATAAATAAATAACCCGCACACAAGTTCAAGATCCGAAAGCAATTTCGGTCCATTATTTTCACCCTCCTGCGAGCGCATGTAGAGAGAGCTTCTATACTACATATGATTACTGTAACACCGCTTACTCGATTTCATGATTATAATGTCTATCTAGATTAATTTCATAATGGTACATGTATTTGTTCAATTAATATAATTCTTTTCACCGTGACTAACTATTTTTTTTTGCAATGGATTGTACCTTGAACGCCTTAACGATCAATGTGCCTATTTCTTTAACTACGATATGTTTATAATTTTATTAAGCTTAAATTTAATTATATAATATATTTATGTGATTATGACTAGTCTTTTTATGGATTGAACCTAGACATCGAATGGGAATATGTTCCTTATTTTAATCTGCTCACTTTTGTGTAAGTCAATTGGAAAATATTAAATGAATAATTAATAGTGGAAATGTAGTAACCTAACGAATTTATTTTATGGTAACTAAGTTAACTTAGAAAAACTAGATGTCTAATTACTTAATTAAAAGATTTTATGCCACGTTAAACGTAATTAAAGCAAATGTATTGGCTTTTTCTATTTTTTACACCTCCTTGCAAATGAACTGTACATTCTCCCAATCTCCTCATTTCCAAAACTTATCGGCGTCTCTTTCTACCTCTGCATCTTGGGTGAAGGTATGAGGATTTATTTTATTTTATTTCTATCATCTGTGAGTTCGGGATTACGCTCTGTTCATCCTTTAAAAACTATTTATACATATAGACAAATAATTTTAAATTAAGTATCTTCAAATTTTGGTTGGGCAGTGAATAAAGTAAGTAAATTGCTCACCTATTTAAGATGTATTAATTCAACTTTTCTTAGCATCAAGGCATCTCATGTTTGGCCTTTTCTTGCCCGACGTTATTGCGCTGCGTGATTAGTGTTTGTGTACTTCATCTCACCATATGTAATCACTAATAAATTTTGCTACCTATGAAATTAAAATAGTCTTTACTCATTATAAGAATATTATTTTTATGTCCAGCGAACAACATTCTATATGGTGTTATAGTGGAATTCTATTTAATCGACTTAGTATAATAATGACAACGAATAATGAGTTTGTTGTAGCCTTCTTCTATTAATCAATAGTATTGAATTAGGATTTTTGGCACGTTGACTTCGATGGCGACAAGGGACATCTCCACTCATCATTCTAAAAAGTTAATTGCTAAGGATTCAAGGTAAGTAAACCTCCCTTTATTTTCATGCGTACGTTACATGATTAAATGTATGAACGTATTATCTAATTTGCTATTATGTGAACCTAATGTATATTTATTACGTTTTATGTTACAAATGTTTATCATGACATATTCATGCACGACAATGCATCCATAAGCATACACGAAGTTTCAACGAACAAAAGTTTCAAAATGTCAATGACTCAATGAATGTTTAAAGATATGTATTTCGAAAGTTTTTGTTACGAGATGTATGTCTATGCCATGAAAGGTGTGAGTGGGAAATGGGGCGTGGGGGACCAGCGCACCCGACCAATGTTTAATAATGAATGTTTCAATGTTAATGTTCATCGCTTTGCGGTGAAATGATGAATGTTAATGTTAATGTTAACCGCTTTGCGGTACTACCGGTAGGACTCAATCGGGTTCCAAACCCACAGCATTCTGATTTGCTATAGGCAATACATCAAGTGAGCTTACGACGTCAATGTTATGTTTTTAAAGAAATGAAAGGATTGGGATACATAATGAGAAACACATTTTGTTTTCAAGCAACTCTTATGCATATCATCAGCATGCATCATATGCATGAGGTTTGCTTACTGAGCATTAGCTCATTCCACGTTATCCCTTCACATTTTCAGATGATGAATGCAGGATGATGCGAGGTGATGACTTCTGGTGACGTGGGCTTAGTGCCAGTACAGTTTATATTTGCTTTCGTTTTTAAATAAAGAGAAATTTTATTTTTACCGTCCTATATTTTTATTAAGTACGAATATATTTTCATGAGTGAAGCCAATGATGTTCATTTTGGTCAAAGAAGAATTTAATCGTTTCCGCATTTATGTTTTCAAGAGGAAGTTAAACGACTAAATTTGGAGATGTTACAGTTTGGTATTAGAGCCCAGAGTTATAAACCGATTCTGTAGACATTTTTTTTAAAGAAAATTTTTAAATATTTTTGTTAAAGAAAATGTACTAAGTCCCATCATAAGAGGTCATCTCACAATCATCTGGTAAGGTTATGAGTTCGAATCATGGGAGACACAACAGAAAGTCGTGAGGGACAAGTGGGCACAAGGCCTACCCAAAGTGGACAGTACGTAAGCTAACGGCTTGGACGAGAGGTCCGGTGAAAATGACATTCGGTCTAGATCAATTGGCACGATTGTACATTAAAGAGATCGTAAGATTGCATGGTACCCCCGTATCCATTGTGTCTGACAGATATCCGAGATTTACATCTAAGTTTTGGAAGAGCTTGCAAGTGGCTATGGGAACGAAATTGAATTTCAGTACGGCATCACCCTCAATCCAATGGTCAATCTGATAGAACTATTTAGACTTTGGAAGATATGTTAAGAGCATGTGTTTTGGATCTAGGAGGCAATTGGGAATCGTATTTACCTTTGGTGGAATTTGTATATAATAACAGCTTTCAGGCAACTATTGAAATGACACCGTATGAAGCTCTCTATGGTAGAAGATGTAGATCACCTGTTCATTGGGATGAAGTCAGAGAAAAGAGAGTTTTAGACCAAAAATTATTGAAAGGACAGTCGAAGCCATTGATAAGATCCGCACTAGGATAAAGGCAGCGCAAGATAGACAAAAGAGCTATACAGATATCAAACGAAAGGACTTGGAGTTTCAAGTTGGAGATAAAGTCTTTTTAAAATTGGTACCAATAAAGGGTATACTTAGGTTTGGCAAGAAAGGCAAGCTACGACCTCGTTATATCGGACCTTTTGAAATACTTGATAGGGTCGGAAGTGTGGTCTATCGATTAGCTTTGCCGCCCGAACTATCAGCAGTTCACAACGTATTTCACCTATCGATGATCAAGAAGTATATGCATGATCCTGATCATGTGGTCAATTATCAATCCCTAGATGTACGTAAAAAATTATCTTATGAGGAATTACCGATTAGAATACTGGATCGAAGGGTACATAAGTTATATTTTGTTTATTTATACATGAAGAAATGATGATTAACTATTTTATTGAAACCTCAAAAGCATAATGTATAAGTTGATATCACTAACAGAGATAATACATAATTGGACACTTATGTGACAGATATGGTTAGAATTTATCAGACCGCTAGAAAGGCCACAGCTTGTAGAGCAGCGTTGAACCGTAGGTCTATCATTCAATCCTATGAGAACTACATGACTGACCCATCTCGTTCACTTGTTGAACACATATATGACATTTACGAGAGTTGTATGGCGACGGTAGATGTAGGACTGGAGATCATGCATATCGAGGCTGTAAATAACCTCACACACTCACTTCCACCTCAATGGGGAAACATGTAAGTCATGGTTAGAGATGAGATGCTAGAAGGTAACCCTCCAAAGCACCCAAATGCAATTGAATTCGGTATATATTGTCAGATCCTTCTAGACAGGTGGAGTGAGAGCTTAGAACCTCAACCAGAGATAGTAATTGAGCCTGAGACCAAGCCCGAGCCCGAGCCCGAGCAGTTTGAATCAGACCCAGAGGAAGATCCCGAATGGGTGCATGAGAATGACTTTGGATTGGAATTAGAGAATGAATATGAGCATGAGCCACTGGTTGAGATGGACCTAGAGTCGGGGCCTGAGCCAAAAGACTCCTTCGAAGATGAAGCTCCACCAAAGAAGATTCGCAAGATTCACAGGGATTAGAAATTAGATTCATTTTCCTTGTGTTATCTTTTCCTTAATGTTATGGAAGTAAATATATCCTGATTTCAAGGAGTATTTTTAATAAAATAAAAAAATCAATTCTGGGTCGAGTTGAAAATATTTCCCTATTTTAATCCTGGTTTTGGAAAAAGAAGTTAATGTGAGATATTATATCTTATTTCTAGGGAAATGTCGCTTGCAAAGCAGAACAATTTGAGAAGGGATATCTTACAAGAGGTTCAAGATCCTGGCAGGCTGAATCAGAACCCAGCTCCACCTACACCGCCAGCTCCTATTACTCTCCTGACTCATGCCTCGGTGGTTGAGTTATTTCGAAGGCATAAGCCCTCTACCTTCGATGGAGCATCTGGCCCACTAGTAGTTGAGGAATGGCTTCGTAAGCTAGAACGAATTTTTCGACTCATAGACTTTTTCGACTCATAGACTGCATCGACGCCCAAAAGGTTCAGTGTGCGGAGTTTATGTTTATTGGTGATGGAAGTTACTGGTGGGATTCAATGTCTCGGACTAGAACCCCGGAGCAGCAATTGGCGTTAACATGGAAACAATTTAAAGAGGAAATAATGGACAAATATTTTCTACAGTCTCTAAGAGATTTAAAGGAAAGTGGATTCCTTCAGCTTAAACAGGGTAATATGTCCTGACTGATTACGAACGAAAGTTCGATCAACTCTCAAGATATGCTCCACACCTGGTTGACATGAAAATTAAGAAGACTAGAGGGTTCGAGCAAGGGTTAAACTCAGACCTAAGCATGATCCTTATGTCACATTGTTTCACATCATATCGTGAGCGTGGATGATGTCAGATGGAGATGCAACATGCCATGGAGACAACAATGATTTAATATCTTTAGTTGATTATGAAATGTTTACGTTTTCTTTAAACTAGATTCCTATAGATGTCATGTGTGGATCCATTCTACGAAAATTCTTTGTGAATAAATTATGTTTAAAAGTAGATATGTGTCATAGGAATAAATTTACAAATCACCGTTTATAAAAAATATGTTAGCGATTTAAAGTTTTGCCGTCTCTTTAAAAAAAATCAGATTTTGCCTCGTCTTTAAAAATTCATAACTCCTCTGTTACTTTGAATTTTTATACAAAATCAGCGGTGTTAGATATTCTCATAAGTTAGCTATTGAATGAACTTGGAATCATATCAATTCGATGTTGGTAGAATTTTATATGTCATTTTAAGTGAACTGCACCGATTTACCTTTCAACCGGGTCGCTGCTGGGTTTTGAAAAAATATTTTAATACCTCATATGATGCCGATGGAAGCTAATTTTTTATTATGTTATATCATAAGGAGTTTAATACTTCACATTAAAATTTGATAAAGTTTCAAGCTCGATAGCTATACAAACGAATTTATTGACACTTACCCTACGAGATAGAAAAAAAGAAAACAACTTTGTTTAGTTAGTGTTAGCAGGATTTTGGAAAATATTTTAGCGCCTTATATGTCACCGACAGAAGAAAATTTTTGGATATGTTATATTATAAGATGTTATACAAACTTTATGATAATACAACTCCCCCCATTTAGTTTTTCATCAAAAAGAAAGGTTACAAGAAATGGAAGGTCATTTTTTCACTACATCCTTCCTTAAATCCGAATTTCATCTTATTTTCTCTCAAAAAAATATATTTTATGTCAATTTAAGCTAAGGGATTAACAAGGGTGAGAAGAAGAAAAACTTTCTACACATTTGTACTTTTAGCCGTAAACTTAAAAAAAATAGCTAAACTTTTAAATGAAATTATAAAGATTTAATTTAAGAATATTTTTTTTAAAAGGATAATAAATGACAACATAACTCAATATAAAAGAAACTAATTCGTAATGTCTTCAGGTGACATCCATGCATAAATACATTTTTGTTACGTGAAATTCTAGGCAAGAATTTAAAAATAAATGTTGTTGTTTGACTTCCCATTTTTGCGTAGTTAGTTTTAAAATAAACTCGTTTACTTAGTAATTTAAATCAAAACTTCACGAAACTTTAAGAGAAAGTAGGGAACTTCTCATAATATAACATATCCAAAATTTAGCTTTCGTCGGCGACATATGAGATGTTAAAATATTTTTCAAAATCTCGCAGCGACTCGATTTGGGAAGTAACCCAGCGCAGCATACTTAAGGTGGCATATAAAATCCCATAGTTATTGGATTGACATGATTTTGAGTTTATTCAGTAGCTAATCCATGATGCTATCAAACACCATTAGCTTTGTTCAAAAATTCGAAGTAACAAATTAGTTATGAATTTTTAAAATTTGAGCAGAAACTGAAATTTCTAAGAAAACAGTAATATTAACTAGTTGAATTTTTTTTTTGAAGACGGTGTTTCGTAAGTAAATTCTAAATCACACATATATATTTTTAAACATAACCTATTCATAAGAAAATGTTCATAGAAATAGTTTCATTTACGATGTCCGTAGAAAAGTAATTAATAGGAAACACAAATATTTCATAATCAATTTAAAGTTGTTAATTCACCGATTTTTCCATGTCGAATTGCATCTTCAACCACAATCATCCGTGTCCCCAACAAAAGAACAAAATCAACCTGTAAGAAGGGATTTAACCCATGAGTTTGAAACTCAATAGATATCATCGGTGCATTTCGTAATCAAATTAGAAAATTAGAACCATTAATTCATACGGTTGCACGTAGATGGATTTTCGGAAAAATCCGATATCTATAGCATTATCATAACACGTAAAGCCGAAGAATGATCATTCAAACTATAGTAGTGCCGAAGCACCGTACCCGAAGGTACCATTTCATTCAACTTTTACGAAAAATCAAATTTGAAAACGAAATAACACTTGCACCTCAACCTACCTTGAATTTTCTTGGATATCAAAGAAAAAATGTGTAGAAAGCCTTTCTTCTTCTCGCCTTTGTTATTCCCTTAGCTTAAATTGACATTTTCATACCGTCAGGATGTGCAGTGTATGGAGTGATATGAGCCTCCTCCAATATCTCCTTCCTCAAAACTTCATCCTTAAGTACATAAATCCTTCCTTTAAACATCAGAGCCCTATCCGAAGCTATTCTAAAGTCCTTTCTTTTATCATTACCAATCTCGTTCTTGATCTTTTGCAAGAATGGATCCTTACCTTGTGCCTCAATGATCCGATCTCTAAGAGTAGGTCGAACCACCAAAGTTGCTAAACGGGTGGTGACTTGCTCTGGTGTGGCAATTATTTCGACTCGTAAATTCTCCAAGTCCTTGATCAACTCCAATTGAGTAGTAGGTAATGACGCCAATCATCCCACTGACTTTCTACTTAGCGCATCGGCAACAACATTAGCTTTACCAGGATGGTAATGGATAGTACAATCATAATCATTTACAAGTTCCAACCATCGTCTGTGTCTTATATTCAATTCCTTCCGTGTGAAGAAATATTTGAGACTTTTATGATCCGTGTAAATGTCGCACTTCCCTCCATATAAGTAATGGCGCCATATCTTTAAAGCATGCACTACTGTAGCAAGTTCTAGATCATGCGTCGGGTAGTTCAGTTCATGCTGCTTCAATTGCCTTGATGCATAGGCAATCACTTTTCCGTGCTGCATCAGTACACATCTTAAGCCTTGTTTGGATGCATCACTATATATAACAAATCCTTCCGAACCTTCGAGTATAGCTAACACGGGTGCTGAAATCAATCGTCGTCTTAGCTTCTGAAAGCTCTACGCACACTTATCTGTCCATTGAAACTTTACTCCTTTCCTTGTCAATTGTGTCATTGGTCCTGCTATTTTGAAAAATCTTTCTATAAATCTTCGATAGTACCCGGCCAATATCAGAAAACTTCGAACTTCACCCATGTTAGTTGGTGTATTCCAATTAGTTACTGCTTCCACTTTTACTGGATCTACCTCAATTCCTTGGGCAGTAACTACGTGACTGAGGAATCCAACTTGTTCAAGCTAAATTTCACACTTTTTAAATTTGGCGTATAACCTTTCCTCACGCAGTGTTTCTAACGCCATTCTAAGATGCTCTTCATGTTGATCTTTACTCTTGGAGTATATCAAGATGTCATCAATGAAGACTATGATAAATTGATCCAAATACTAATGAAATACACGATTAATTAAATCTATGAACACTGCCGGAGCATTTGTCAACCCGAATGGCATAACTATGAACTCGTAATGTCCATAACGAGTTCGAAAAGCTGTCTTGGGTATGTCACTTTCCTTAACCTTCAACTGATGGTATCCAGATCGTAAGTCGATCTTGGAAAATGCCTTAACCCCTTTCAATTGGTCAAATAAATCCTCGATTCTCGGGAGAGGGTATTTATTCTTTATGGTGAAACGGTTTAACTCCCGGTAGTCAATATACATCCTCATACTTCCATCTTTCTTCTTTACGAACAATACTGGTGCGCCCCAAGGAGACACACTTGGTCGAATAAAGCCACAATCCAACAGTTCTTGTAATTGAAATTTTAACTCCCGAAGTTCCTTTGGGGCCATTCTGTATGGAGCTTTAGATACTGGTGCCGCTTCGAGAACCAGATCTTTTTTGAACTCCACCTGTCTATCTAGAGGAGTACCAGGTAGGTCTTCTGGAAACACATCTATAAACTCTCGTACCACTGGTACGTCCTCAATCTTTATTGTCGTCTGTTTTTGTCCTGAGATGTTAACTAGAAACTCTTGGTACGTTTCTTTTCTCATCATTTTCTCAGCTTGCAAGGCCGATACTAGTTGGATATGGGGTTTGGTCTTTATTCCGAGGAAAGAGAATTGCTCTTCTCATGGTTTCTGAAAAGACACTTCCCTCTCACTACTAAGAATGGTTGCATAATTACCTCCCAACGAATCCATACCCAAAATCACGTCGAAGTCTTTCATCTCTATCAGATACAAATTAGCTTCTAATGTTTTTCCTTCGATTTCAAGATTTACCGACCTGGCTAACTGATCTATATAATGTTCTACCAGAGGGGACGCTAACTTCTAGTGTACTTTCTGACTTCTCACAAGTAATACTAGATTTAACAATGAAAGACGTTGATACAAAAGAGTGAGTAGCTCTCGAATCAAATAGTACATAAGCAGGTTTATTGAAAATCAGTAAAATACTTGTTATTATGTTTGAGTTTTCCTCTGCATCCTTCTGAGTCAGTGTAAAGACTTATGCTTTTCCCTTTTTGTTCTGATCACTGTCATCATCCTTCTTTTCAGTGAACATAGGACAATCCTTAGCAATATGTCTTGGCTTACCGCACCGAAAATAGGCATTTTTCCCATACAGGCATTCACCACGATGAGGTTTACCACACTTCAAACAAGGCGCAATTGTAGCTACTATGGCCTTGTTGGTACTAGATCCGATGTTAGCCTTCTTATTTTGCCATTTGTCCTTTCCTTTGTCTTGACCATTCCACTTCCTTTTTCCTATATGCCCTCTATCTTGCTGGTTGTACAATTGACGGCGTTGCTCCGCATTAGCCTTATGATACCAAATAGCGTGAGCTCGTTCCAACATTTCTCGATATGATGTGAAACGATGTGACATAAGGATCATGCTTAGGTCTGGGTTTAACCCTTACTCGAATCTTCTAGTCTTCTTAATTTTCGTGTCAACTAGGTGTGGATCATATCTTGAGAGTTGATCGAACTTTCCTTCGTAATTAGTCAGGGACATATTACCCTGTTTGAGTTGAAGGAATTTGCTTTCCTTGAAATTTCTTAGAGATGAAGGAAATTACTTGTCCATTACTTCCTCTTTAAATTGTTCCCATGTTAACGCCAATTGCTACTCCGGGGTTCTATTTCAAGACATTGAATTCTACCAGTAACTTGCATCACCAATAAACATAAACTCCACACACTAAACCTTTTGGGCGTCGATGCAGTCTATGAGTCAAAAAATTCGTTCTTACGAAACCATTCCTCAACTACTAGTGGACCAGATACTCCATCGAAGGTAGGGGGCTTATGCCTTCGAAATAACTCAACCACCGAGGCATGAGTCGGGAGAGTAATAGGAGCTGGTGGTGTAAGTGGAGCTGGGTTCTGATTCAGCCTGCCAAGATCTTGAACCGCTTGTAGGAGATCCCTCATCAAATTGTTCTGGTTTGCACGAGACATTTCCCTAGAAATAAGATATAATATCTCACTTTAACTTCTTTTTCCAAAACCAGGATTAAAATAGAGAAATACTTTCAGCTCGAACCAGAATTGATTTTTTTATTATTAAAAGTACTCCTTGAAATCAGGATATGCAATAGTTCGACGACCTTTACTTCCATAACATTAAGGAAAAGATAACACAAGGAAAATGAATCTAATTCTAATCCCTATGAATATTGCAATCTTCTTTGGTAGAGCTTCATCTTCGGAGGAGTCTTCTGCCTCAGGCCCCGACTCTAGGTCCATCTTAACCTGTGGCTCATGCTTATGTTCATTCTCTAATTCCAACCCAAAGTCATTCTCATGCTCCCATTCGGGATCTTTCTCTGGGTCTGATTCAAACTGAGGTTCTGGTCCGGGCTCGGGTTTAGGCTCAATTACTATCTCTGGTTGAGGTTCTAAGTTCTCACTCCACCTGTCTAGAAGGATCTGACAATATATACCGAATTCAATTGCATTTGGGGTGCTCTGTAGGGTTACCTTCTAGCATCTCATCCCTAACCATGACTCTCATGTTTCCCCATTGAGGTGGAAGTGAGTGTATGAGGTTATTTACAGTCTCGATATGCGTGATCTCCAGTCCTGCATCTACCGCTGCCATACATCTCTTGTAAATTTCATGTATGTGTTCAACAAACGGACGAGATGGGTCAGTCATGTAGTTCTCATAGGATTGAATGATAGACTTACGGTACAATGCTGCTCTACAAGCTGTGGCCTTTCTAGCGGTTTGATAAATTCTAACCATGTCTGTCACATAAGTGTCCAATTATGTATTATCTCTGTTAGTGATATCAACTTATATATTATGCTTTTGGGATTTTAATAAAATAGCTAATCATCATTTCTTCATGTATATATAAACAAAATATAACTTACATAACACATTTCATCCTAAATATCATTAGCATTTTCATAGATTCAAGCTCAAATGATTTATAAATCATGCTCGAAAAATAAAGTGGAAAATAATGTTTTATTCCATACATTGGGTTCGTTGGATGAGGTCAATTGATGGATGCAAGATGCCATGAAATGCCTTAAATGTTTCACTTTCTCATCTTTTAATTATTATTTTTTTTTATAAAAAAATACGCCAAGTCTACAATATCGACTAAACCTCGTGCTCTGATACCACGCTATAACATCCCAACCCACATGGATCGAAACGTCACGAGATTAACTGTACTTTAGTCGTAATTTTTAAAACAATAATTCAATAATAAAAGAAAAAAATTTCAAAAAAATTTTTAGAATGGGTTCCATGCGTGTAACGACTATTGACGTGAAATTTTTGACAAAACTTAAAAAGTAATGTTGTTTTAGTTTTTGTCTCAAACGATAATTGTCAAAATAAATTTGTTTGCATAGCTATCGACCTCAAAACTTCATCAAATTTTAATGTAAAGTAGGAAACTCCTTATAAAATGACATAGTCGAAAATTAGCTTCCAACGGCATCATATGAGATAATAAAATATTTTTCAAAATCTCGCAGCGACTCGATTTGGGAAATAGCCCAACTCAACATATTTAAGGTGGCATATAAAATTCCATGGATATTGGATTGACATGATTTTGAATTTTTTCAGTAGCCAATCTATGAGGCTATTAAATCCCACTAGTTTTGTCCAAAAATCCCAAGTAACAATTGAGTTACGAATTTTTAAGTTCAATGGCAGACACTAGAATTTTCAGAAAACAGCAACACTATGTTTACTTAAAGTGACATATAAAATTTTACTGCAATTAGATTGATACGATTCTAAGTTTATTCAATAGCTAACTTATGAGGCTATCAACCACCATTAACTTTGTTCAAAAATTCGAAGTAACAAATTAGTTATGAATTTTTAAAATCTGAGCAGAAACTGAAATTTCTAAGAAAATAGTAACATTAACTAGTTGACATTTTTTTTTGAAGACGGTGTTTCTTAAGTAAATTCTAGATCACCCATATATATATTTTTAAACATAAAGTATTCATAAGAAAATGTTCGTAGAAATAGTTTCATATACGATGTCCATAGAAAAGTAATTAATAGAAAACGCAAATATTTCATAATCAATTTAAAGTTGTTAATTCTCTGACTTTTCCATGTCGAATTGCATCTTCAACCACTATCATTTGCGCCTCCAACAAAAGAACAAAATAAACTTGTAAGAAGGGATTTAACTCATGAGTTTGAAACTCAATAGATATTATCGGTGCATTTCATAATCAAATTAGAAAATTCGAACCATGGATTCATATCGTCGCACGTAGATGGACTTCCAGAAAAATCCGATATCTATAGCATTATCATAACATGTAGAGCCGGAGAATGATCATTCAAACTATAGTAGTGTCGAAGCACCGTACCCGGAGTTACCATTTCATTCAACTTTTAATGAAAAATCAAATTTGAAAATGAAATAACACTTGCACCTCAACCTATCTTGAATTTTCTTGGATATCAAAGAACAAATGTTTAGAAAGTCTTTCTTCTTCTTACCCTTGTTATTTCCCTTAGCTTAAATTGACACAAAATATATTTTTTGAGAGAAAATAAGATGAAATTCGTATTTAAGGAAGGATGTAGTGAAAAAGTGACATTCCACTTCTTATAACCTTTCTTTTTAATGAAAAACTAAATGGGGGAGTTGTATTATCATAAAATTTGTTAAATTGGATCTTTAACTAAGAATTTGAAGAGTTTTTAAGCCTAAAAAAATTCATAAAATTTTTATAAAAACATCTACATGGTGATCAAAAATCCCAAATAACGATTGAGTTACGAATTTTTAAGTTCAATAGCAGAAACTGAAATTTCCAGAAAACAGTAATACTATGTTTACTTAAAGTGACATAAAATTTTTTACCGACATCGGATTGACATGACTCTAATTTTATTCAGTAGTTAACTTATGAGGCCATCAAACACCATTAGCTTTGTTCAAAAATTTGAAGTATCAAATTAGTTATGAATTTTTAAAATCTGAGCAGAAACTGAAATTTCTAAGAAAACAGTAACATTAACTAGTTGACATTTTTTTTAAAACGGTGTTTCGTAAGTAAATTCTAGATCACATATTTATATTTTTTTAAACATAACCTATTCATAAGAAAATGTTCGTAGAAATAGTTTCATATACGATGTCCATAGAAAAGTAATTAATAGGAAACGCAAATATTTTATAATCAATTTAAAGTTGTTAATTCATCGACTTTTTCATGTCGAATTGCATCTTCAACCACCTTCATCCGCGCCCGCAACAAAAGAACAAAATCAACCTCTAAGAAGGGATTTAACCCATGAGTTTGAAACTCAATAGATATCATTGAAAGCCCAAGACCAAGATGGGGGTGAATTGGTTATTTGAAACTTTTTCGAATATAAACGCAAATTTAGGCAAATAACTATAAATAGACAAGACAACACAAAAGTAATAAGAGGAAGGGAAAAGAGAGTGCAAACGATGTAATAAGAAGGTTCGATCCAATCACGATCTATGTTCTCCGTTACCAAGCTCTCCATCACAAGCAAAGGTCTTTTTCACTATCTTTGATTGACTTATGGTGCAATCCAACCCTTACAACGCTTTCGGTGACTTACAACTAAGGAGCACTGATCCTTTTACACGTTGAGCTTTTTGGGACCTCAACACGACCCACAATTTTATGAACAAGAAAATCAAAGTTACAATTGAAAAGTTTCTCTCTTAACAAATGATATG